TAGCAATCAGTCTTGAAAACTGTAATCTGTTCTTGCATATCTACATCTTTATTTGAATCACAATGATTATGCGTTACGATGAAATGTTTATGTAAACTAAATTACATAGTAAAATATCGCAACTATTTTTATGATAGCGGAAGGACATCTACACTTTATTACAATGAAGGGAAATTAGCTATACAATGATAATAATAATAAATGTGTGATGTGTGTGTACGTATGGATATAGTGAGATATATCAACTCTCAGTATAATCAATCTTTATATAATAGACGTAACCACAATAATTCCAAAAAATCAAATTGTATACGCGTCCGGCAGATACCCATCTTTAGATAAGGCATTATTTCAAGAATAATTACAAGAAAAACAGAGAATTTCTTTATTATACGAACGAATTTTTAACAGGAAGTAGTTCTACTTAATGACCTCTAAGAAAAAAAAAGAAAAATCGCGTATTTTTATTCCATGTCTTAATCAACACGTACAGTTAGAAATATAGCTTTTAATGACATCAATATGATAAGCTAAAAATATAATTAATGATGCTCAAACATCGTTAAATTATTAATAATCTCAGTAATATAATCTCATCTCGCACTTTTTCGATGAATGTCAAATTTTGTATTCTATTCTTTGTTATTGTCAATGGTTATCATTGTGTATACGTCATTCGTTATATAAACCATCAGATTATTTCATAATTATTCTGTGGTGCTTTGTTTATTCTCTCTTTGTTTCATATGTATTCCAAAGAAAATTTGTAATAGGTAGTTAGTTGCTTTTCACTTACACAAAAGTTTAGGTAATTCTCATTTATTGACATCATAACTCAATTGAATGCACGTTTCTATTTATTCTATCAAATGAAATTCGATTGAGTTTTAAAAACTGCACAAGCTCGAGAGTGTGCTTTACTGACAATGAGTCTTATTAACTCACACTAAAAGTGAGATGTATAAACCTGTATTGTTATGCAATAACATAATTTTGTTAAAAATTAACACAATGTCATGGCTTATTTCAAGCTATAATTAAATTAACTTAAAATTAATATAATTAACAAACGTTTCGACTTACAAAATCTTCTTCAGCTACAATACAGAGATACAATCTTAAATTAACGAATAAAGAATAACGGATACAATGAAAATTTAAAAACTACAAATGGTGAAGTGTCATAGTATAAAAAAAATATATAAAAGAATATAAAAAAATATATAAAAAAATTCGAACGTCAATAAGTCTCGCCAGATGAAAATAAGATAGGAACATATGGATACTTCAGTAGATTAATTATATTCATCGATAAAACAGATTTGCCAAATTCCTCGGTTGAAATCGAGAATCCAGTTTATCACAGACTTATATCAAACGATTTGAAAATTCTTTAATTACGAGTATTTTATGACATTCTGTAGAACAAATAGATTTATTAAGATAATATATTATTACCATTGTCTGAATTTTTTTGGATTTATCAATAAAGACAGTACTATTATTTTAAATTGGTACCATAAAAAAACGTTCTCGGCAGATATTTATCGTTCTATTCGAATCATCCCGCATGTCATAAGATAGGGACCATATATAGCTTAGTTGATAGAGCGATCTTATTGTCAAATTCTACATTTTATAATAAGAACATAGAATTTATAATGGAGAATTTGAAAGATAATGGTTATCCTTTAGGAATGATTTTTTATTACATTAACAAAAGGAAAGTTTGGCTTGTAAAAAATCCACGATGATTAATAACATCAGCTCAGATAATGTTGACACTGATGAAGTTTTGAGAGAGATAATAGTTTTCCTATATATAAGATCTATTTCTAATAAAATTACTAAGTCTATTAATAAATTCAAAAACATAATTGGCTATAGGTGCTTAAACAAGCTTAATAAATTTATTAAAGTTAAAGACAAAAATCAACATCATAAAAATAATAATGTCATATATAAAATAAATTGCAATATCTGCGATGCATCGTATGTTGGTCAAACGAAGAGACAATTGCAGACAAGAATTAAAGAACATTGCAATAATATAAAATTAAACCAGTTCAAGTACTCAATAATCTCGAAACGTATCATAGAAATCATGATTTTGATTGGGAAAAAGTTAGTATTCTTAATTTTGAAAAGAATTATCGTAAAAGAAATATTTCTGAAATGATACACATCAAAGAACAAAAAAACGATTTAAATTTAATGAAAGATACTAAGTTATTGAATAACTCTTATTTTAACATATTTGACGATATACGAGAACATAAATAGTCACAGTTTTGAATAGACTTGTTTTTACATTCGATTTTATTGACTTTACTTTTGTTTGACCTACATTTCACATTAGTTAATTTTCAAACGAGCACAGTCATTAACTTAACTGGATCTTTGATTGAAAGTTTAGATTATTTACAGTATTTTCTATAAATTACCGTAAATTATTATTTGATTCTGTACCTCTTTTTTCTAATAATATATTATCTTAATAAATCTATTTGTTCTACAGAATATCATAAAATACTCATAATTAAAGAATTCTCAAATCGTTTGATACGAGTCTGTGATAAACTGGATTCTTGATCTCAACCGAGGAATTTGATAAATCTATTTTATCGATGAACATAATTAATCTACTGTTGACTGAAGTATCCAAAAAATGTTTCTTATTTATCCAAATGTTTCTTATTTTCATCTGGCGGGATATTTATTGACGTTCGAATTTTTTATATTTTTTAAATATTTTTTTATATTCTTTTATATATTTTTTTTATACTGTGACACTTCATCATATATAGTTTTTAAATTTTCATTGTATCCGTTATTCTTTATTCGTTAATTTAAGATTGTATCTCTGCGTTATAGCACTGAAGAAGGCTTTGTAAGCCGAAACGTTTGTTAATTATATTAATTTTAAGTTAATTGAATTATAGCTCGAAATAAGGCATGACATTGTGTTAATTTTTAAGAAAATATACGCATTTTTTATTCCATTTTATAATTTTGTTATCAAAGTAAATAAATGGTGACATCATTATCTGACAATGAGTCATAAAATATTCACAGAACTTTAGATTCAGTACCACTTATGTCATAAAGCAATTATTCTCTTTCCATTGCGCCTCTTTACATTCAATTTACAAAAAATTCAGGCATATTTAGAACACGCTTTTATCGATACAAATGCGCACTTTTATTTCTGAAATTTTATAATATAACGTGAACTATTTAGTTGAGTACAGTCTCAGTATTCATGTTCATTGAGTTTTTTATCTTACAACTTATGGAAGTTTGTAATAATTAACTATAATTGGAAAAATTCAGATTTTTTATTTAATATTTTTATTTTTTGTTTTTGGTGAATATCTTAAACATATACATATACTTAAACCTATACTTACACATATAACTCATACAGCACAGAAAAATTGCAGAAACATTGCAGAATGATTTCAATGAAACATTACAATATTGCATGGTGGTTGCGAACGTTGCTGAATTGTTGATGAATCATTGTTGCAAAATTCCAACAATGTTAAGATGTCTGCTTTTTGTTATATTGCAACAAAATATAACGTATATACGTAATATGCGTTCTAGCAAATAATGTAATGTGTTTGGATAAATTTTTTACTCCAAAATAAAAATTATTTCTGTACATATATCTCACTAACTTTAATTTTTCTACAAATCACATTTCTAGTGATATGTGCTTTCCAAAAGCAATTTTTTATGATAAAATATTCCAATAAATATTATATTCTAAAGGATAAATTTATTCGTAAGGATAAAGTATGTTATGTGTGTGCTCCAAACAAACTGTTAATATAATAATACATTAATATAATAATACAATTCGCTTGGTAAGTTAATCATGGATTAAGTTAATCGCAGTGATTCTTTTTAATTCGAAACCACTTCGAGTCAATTGAAATCGATTAAAAAATGATGGTATGAAATTTATCAATAAAGTTCAGGCGATTTATTCTTGCGTTCACATCAGGCATAAATACATCATCGTTCACATAATTAATATTTCGATAAATCGTTTTCAGCAGCTTAATTGTTTATCGTCTTATCTGATAATGATGCATTGATTGTATCCAAACTTGATATTATACAATCTTTTAATTTCATATTTAAAATAAATATAAAACTTAGCTAATGAAATAGTCGTCAAATAATAGATCAAAAAATTTTTTTTTAAATATAAAATAAATTATATTAATTATTATATCATAAAAACGACTGTTAATTTAAAAAACTGTACTACATAAATATTGTAAAAATTTATATTTCTATTATTGTAACAATTAAAGAATTACAGTTTTGCAATGTTTGTAGAATATTACTGACATTTTGCAGGCGTATTGTTAATTTATTTTTCTGTAATATCTCTTACATTGCAATCTGCAATATTGCAATATTGCTTCAATATTCTGTGCTGTATGGGAATAGTTATCAATAAAAAAATACAGTACTAAAAAGTACATAAAAACTTTTGAAAAAATTCTTAGAGATTTTCTTTTACAAGAAGAAAATAAACAATTTTTGTCTCTTGCTGTTTTTTGGTAAAGTTAATAATACTTGAAAAAAAATTATTAAAAATCAATGTTTGGTGATTTTTAATAATTGATATCGTGTTAATTATTGCGAAAATTGCAAAATGGTAGAGGACTTTTCGTTTCAATTTAGTTCGCTCTACCTCTATGCGAGAGTTTTATCGTTACTTATCAAACTCTGTACATATAACAAATGTTTAAAAAATGATCCTGTTATTAATATTCATTATTTGTTATATTATAAGCAGAATTTCATGACTTAAAACATGCTACTTTTGCTGTTATTCATTGTTTATGATTTATGCTACCTGAAAGAATAACAAATATAATTTGGATACTCCCCCACGCATGATGCTAGAGAAGGAGAGTCATTATGTCATAAACTATAAAAACTTAGGACACTAGCTTGCGATTAGTCAGTAACTCTTTGATCACGGATTTGTATTCCATCGTGTTGAAACGATAAATCAAAATGAAAACAATTGTTATCTTGCTCGCCGTTTCTTTCGTCGCCGTCTTGGTAAGATTATTTCATTATTATGAGTATCTCCGCTAATAATCTATTAAATTTATTTCTCTACAAAATATTCTGCAACTATTATTTTTAATATAATTAATTCCCATTATTCAATTCTATTCTAAACTTACTAATATTTACATACGTTCTTAAAACTGTATTTGGTAAAGCCCTCTAATTTCTTTCTATAATTTTAGATTACTTATTATTTCTTTCTCAAAATATATTTATTTAACTTCCACAGGACTATGAAAATAATTTATAATCGTTAAAAATATAAAATAGGCACATTAAAAAATGCGTTAATTATTTAACATAACGTTAACATGTGAATAATAATAATTTTATAATATTCAAATATTCTTATTTGATTGTAGGGTGAATTAACAAAGGAAGACCACGCAAAATACGAACAGTATGAAAAAGATTGTATGGATGAACTTGATATTGATCCGGGTAAGTGAAGAATAAACTAATTGCACGATTAAAAAACTTATTAAATAAATAATTACATTAATAATTACATTAATAATTCAAATTTCAGCCACATTTCTAAAATTAAACCAAGAGAAATCAGATGAAAATGATGAAAAGCTAGCCTGTTTCAATTTCTGTTTGTTAAAGAAATACGAAATTGTAAGTTGTGATCCTATTATATTTTACATATACAGGATGTCCTAAAATTCGAGGATGATATTATTACAGCGTAATAAACTTCAGGAAAAATTAAATAATAAAAGTATAAGGCTTTTTTCTGTAGTTTTTTTTAAGTATAAAGTTTAACTTATAATCATAAGAGTTAAGTTAAAAAGTCATTTATCCGTGTGACATGTGCAGTGGTATTAAATACTAAATAAAACATCGCCGCTGCATGCATACTGTCACACGGATAGATAACTTTTTTAACACTCATAATTAGTCAAAACTTAATCAATTTATAATATTAGTCAAATTTCAAACATTTATATTTAAAAACTTACTTTATGAAAAAAAATAGTGTACACTTTTATTACTTAGTTTTTCAAAGCTTCACATTGTAATAATATATTACCCTCAAATTTCAAAACACCCTGTATACAATGTATATTAAGAAAATTAATTAATGAGAAATTAATTTCTATTCCTGTGTTTTAGTTCAAAGAGGATGAAAAAATTGATTGGGACAAATTTCGTGCTGAAATGTCAAAACATGATGTACCACAAGACAAAATCGATGAAATATGTGACAAATGCAAAGACGTTGGTAAGTATAACATAAATTTAAGAGTCAAGATCAATTTTTATCCGTTAAAGAATTGACTGCTTTCCGATATTCGCTGCCAGTATTGTAAATCTATAGTATAGTACGCTTTACGCTATAGATTTTCAGCACTCGCTGCGTTCAGCAGAGAAAATTAATCAATTAGCGCTTTAATATAATTGGTTCTGCTGACCCCAGCCAGTGAATACAATCGGAACGCAATCAATATTGTAATCTCATGGCGGTTTTCTCAAATATTTTTTCTCTCAAATGAAAATAAAATAAAATATTGAAATTGTTTCAGATGGAGAGGGTTGCCAAAAGGGAAAGAATTTGATTAAATGTATGCAGGATGTCAAGGGCGAATAGAAGCATTGAGCGATTGAAACCAAATTCCGCAAGAAAATATAATTGGAATTATTAAAGAGATTTTAATGTCATCTATCGTCTATTACATTTTAGATAACATTAAAATATTATCTTGCACATGTGTTAGTACACAAAACTCTATTGATAAGAAAGTAAATACACGTTTCGTTTCAGCATAAAACAAGCCTTTCTCTTCTAACTTCTTTCCTCAAATAACAAAAATTATTAGATAAAACATTATTAAATTGAATAGTGTTTCAGTCTAAGTTATTCAAGAATCAACATAAAATAAATTTTAGATTAAAAATAAAAAATTTATTAAATTCCTTAATAATAGCAAATCTTCAAGGAACGCTCCAAAGAACATTCAGAGGATATCCTTATATCTTAAGGATGTTCGCCAGAACGTCTTTTGAAGTAGTTTTAATAAGTGTGCTTAGGATGTAATTAAATAAATTATAAATTGATTTGCAATGAGGTAAAAAATACATAATAATTGTAAAATGCAATAAATTATTATTGCAAATAAGTTTTATTAAACAGTTTAGTAAGCTGCATATTTCCTCCATACTTTTTCTATTTTTATGATTTCTAATGTTTTAATATCTTCGATAATATTAGCGATGTCACTCGTACAGCACAGAAGCTTGTAGCAACATTGCTGCAACATTTTAATGTTGCATGTTGCAATACAATGTTGCAGAAACATTGCGAAGATTTCTTTTTACAATATTACTTCAGCAATAATACTTGCAGCAGTAAAATATTACATTAATACATTTAAAATATTTTCAGCGAGAAACACAATTGACACAAGAGTCATCCTATCCTTGTTCAAAAATTAGTAAGAAACAAAGATAAGAAAGACTCTTGTCATTGTGTGATTTGTGTCTCTGCTAGAAAGTTCACTTTGAGTATTAAGACTTGTATACATATATTGATTTGTGTATAACCCAATAAAGGACCTAAACATAGAAGAATAGAAATTAATGATCACGTTTACACGGCACATTTAATCGGATTTCATAACATCTGTAGGTATGGAACTGTCCAATCTCATAACTGTATTCCTCTAAAAAATGGAATGACTGGTTAGTTTCTAACTACGAATATTATTAAACCCGATTAATGCCCATTTCTACCAATATAGATTTATTTTAATCTCAGTTCAACTTATCTTTTTCTAGGTCTAAAGATTAGAAAAAGACGAAGAGAAAGTTGAACTGAGATTAAAGTTAATCTACATTAGTGGAAACGGACATAAGGTGTAAACGTAGTCAATGTCTATAATTTATAGGAATTGTTTCTATAATTTATAGACATGAAATAATTAGAAGTAAGGATTAAATATAATGCACAATGGACACAATAATAACATATAAGACGTATAATATAAAAAATTATAGGTACTATTATTTATTAAAATAACTTATGATCCAGATAATAAATCGTCTCCAAATTTATCGTATTATTTTTCAATATAATTTAGAATAATCTATATTTTTTTTATAATTTTGTTATTATGCTGAAATATCACCCAAACATCATTAATTGCAAATTATAAAAATATTGTATTAAAAATTAAAAATATTTTTCAAACTATATTATTATATTACAATTCAATAATATAATAATATATATCATATTATTATATAACAAATTTTTAATTGTTAGTTAAAAGTATTTAATATAATAACGTAATATAACATTAAACTTTGAAAAGATTGACTTTTAAATTTAAAAATTCGTAATTAATTATTAAGTAATAAAATAAATTAATTGTAATATAAAATAACTTTCAAGGCTTCTCCATAACATAATATTCGTTTTTCTTTTTATAAGAGTTCTTAGAAAGATTTCCCATCTATTTAACAGTCACAGTACTACGAATATTTGTTCCGAATTACACATGAAGCGTATAGGAGGAGTAATAAGGATTGGGAGGAGTAATAAGGATGCGCTGGGAGGAGTAATAAGAATTCAGCAATTAATTAGTACAATCTGGGGAATTCGTAGAAACTTTCGAAACGCTTTCGAAGCGCGCAATAGCTAATTTGGAACGACTTTCTGTGCAGTCTATGCGCTTTATGCGAAATTCGGAACGTACTCTATAAAGCCCATGTCATATATAAAAAGATGTAATCAGTAAGCGAATTGTCCAATCACGATAGAGATCGTAAGACCAGTAGCCAGAATCCAATCTTACGATTTCCTTATTGATTACGTCTTATGACCTTACGTTTTTGTATGTGTCATGAGCTTAAGCCTGTCTACGATGCTAGAAATCGGTCCGAGATTTTGGACAGAGAAAAAATTAGCAAATCACATTTGGACAATTTAATGACCATTGCGATTGATCAATTTTTTCTTTATCCGACGTCTCGATTCGTATGTATATGACCGAACAAAACCTCCGGTTATAAAAATTATCATTTTAAATCGTTTGTATTTCGTATGAAGAGTTATGAAGTACCATTAAAAACATTTGTGAGTCCAGACATTTTTAATTAAATATTAAAATATCATATATTTGATCGAAATATAGATACAGATGCTACGGTCACGGAAATTCCATTAGACACGATAGGTAGTCTCTCTAGTATTTTGATATTCCAGGACGTTATGAAATTGTTTAGAATGAGTTCCGATCGGAATTATTTAGTTTTCCTACAGTTTCTTTAAAAAACACAATAGAAATGTAGGAAATAATTTAATTATTTTAATTGGAATCCATTCGAATAATTCCATTATACGTTTTCTGTTATTCGATCAACAAGATGGATGAGCAACTAACACTGCAAGACAAAATTCTTTGCACTATTCTCTGTAATAGACCTCAAATACTATTGTCGTAGGATAATTGTATCAGGTTTTGAAACATAATATAAAAATTAGAAATTATTTTATTGTAGGTTTTAACCGTCACTCCTTCAAAGTATTGTGAAATGTCTGAACGTAAGTTAAGTTTAATTTTATATATAATTTAACAAAACTGACATCAGATAATGAAGATACCATCAAGCATGATTATGAGATGATACGTATGCAACTATGTTCTCCATTAATTAAAAAATGCAATAATCAAGATAATCATGCAATATGTCTAATAAAAAAACAATACAGAAATAGAAACAGGTAATACAGTTTCAATTATATTTTTATATATTAAAATATATTTTTATTTGCACTTCAAAACTCTTCATATGAAATACAAACGATTTAAAATGATAATTTTTACAACCGGAGGTTTTGTCCAGTTATGTATATACGAATAAAGTCTCGGACCGATTTCTAGCATCGTGGACACCAGTGGATACAAGGTTTTATCGCTGCGATACCATGAAACGAGACCATGAAATTGTATCTTAGTAATTTTTAATGGAAAATAAAGAGCCGTCTAATGGGATTTCGACAATTCGAGTTGGTAACACTGCATGCATGTGCCATTGTAGCGGTGACGGTGACACCGGTCAACCGGTGTATTATGTTTGATGGAGATGATAGAGAGAGAGTGACTTTTCGTGTTGCACAGTGTGTTATTTTCACCTTTTAGATACTTTCAAATCGCCAAATCGAGATTTCTTGATAGACCGTGTCAGATGGGAAATGGATTCGTTAAGTGATGTCAAAGAGAATCTCGACCAATCGATTCGTCTGTTAAGTCAGCAGAATAGTCAACGGAGAACATTTTTGAGGTTAAGCGGCCAACGGAGCACCACTCCGAAGAGGATATCATTACAGGCAACCGGTCAGTCGCGAAAGGATGCTGATGATAGACAGATGCTCAGCGACACACACAGCTCGGGGTTGGCCGACAAGACCTCGGGAATCAGACTAACCAAGCTCTACAATGTGGAGCTTGATACTTCGCTAACCCTCGCGCCTCACGAAATCCGCGATATAATGATGCGCTCGGAGAGGAACGACATTACTATTAAGGAGATGATGGAGGACAGCACAGCGACCGGAGCGATTCTGAAGGCGAATGAGCCGTGGCGAGAGGCTAAATCCAAGCTCTACTATGATTTCCTACAGAGTGTGCAAGCGCACTTCTCGAAGGCGCAGGTCTTTGATACCATCGCAGATTTCATACAGAATTGTACCGACACACTGGACATAATGAGAGGTATTGAAAATGGAAACAGCTTCGTTCTTAAAATCAAAATAGCTTTATAATTCTAAGAATAAATCAAATATAAAATACCTCTGCAATTGTTGATATATTTATAAGACAGTAAGATATAATTTGCAAACAATTTTTGAATGTACTTACCAAATGAAATTAATTACTAACGTTTTGACTTATCTTCAAATACAATAGGTATTATACTGTATGCCAATTGCAATGGCCAACACTGGAGCTTTCAAGAGAATGTTTTAATACTTCTTGATGTATGCATTATTTTACTATGACTTAATGAAAAAATATTTTTTATATCTAGAAACATATTTCAAAATATACCACAAATTTCAAAAAGTTTCATTGATTGGTTCTTTTAAAAAAATTTTCAAAGGATTACTTTATTAACGTGTTACATAAGATTCCTCCCTTAACTCAGCTGAAGTACTGGGTTACATACCTAGTTTTGCCATAAATTCTGTCAGTAGTTTAAATGGATAGAGCAAAAAAAAACAGCAACAGATATATCTAAAATTATACATATATTCTGAAAGTAGAGAAAAAGAAGCTACAAAATCATCTAATTTTTATTCAAAATTCCCATCTTTGTTTTGATCAAAATATGGTCCTTGATACTGTTGTTAAGCTTCTTAGTCACACTTTGTTCGATAGTCAGCCTTGGACCTTCCAGCAGGACTCAGCCTGCACACACAAGGCGAAAACGACGCAAGCATGGCTAGAGAACAATGTTCTAAGCTTCCGATTGGCTGTCCAGGAATCCGGACTTTAATTCGCTAGACTATAAAATGTGAAACGTTTTGGAAGAGATAGCTTGCAAGAAGCCTCACCGTTTTGGAGTCGCTCAAGCATTTCATTATGTCAGCAACTAAGATTCTTCTGAGATCATAAATCGATCGATGAATAGTTCCAACGTTTACGTAAATGTATATGATGAACAAAGATGGACATTTCGAATAAAAAATAGATGGTTTTAGCCTTTTCCTCTATTTTCAAAATATATGTATAATTTTGAGTCTATCTGTTGTTATTTTTCTGTTCTA